GGTGGATTCTTATGCCATAAGGCACAGACTTGAAAAATTTCCTGGCATAGCCATCTGGAAATAGTGATAGAAGAAGCCACCCCATTATGCTCTTACAAGAACCCTCAGTGATGACAACCAGTGAATCTGTATTACTGAAGGAAGAAGTGACATTCAGGTAAACCCTGAAAGATCACACCCAGCAAACGTAGGACAAATTCCTTATGATGCACCGAAGCACAGCAAAGAAAGGGAAGTAGGATATCCTTATTAAGGTGAAAAGAGGAGACCACCTTGGACAAAAAAAAGGAAATTGGTGGCTGTAAAACCACCTTTCCTCGTGAAGACTGAGAAAAAGAGGTTGAAAAGATATGCAGACAATTCCTAAAGCCTTCTAGCCAATGTAATGGCTACGAGGAAGGCTACTTTTTGGGATGAGGTCAACAAGAAAACTTCATAAATATTTTCAAATATATAGTCTCAAATCTGTAGGACTGCAAGAATGAAATTAAGGTCCCAGGAAGCCTAGGAAAAGGTGGAACTTGATCCTTAAGACCATAAACTTGAATGATCATCTGTCTTATCCACCAAAAAATGGAGGGACGAGAAGCTAGATCCTTCAGGATGACAAAAATAAAAAAAAAGTATTTCCAATGGAAGTACTGGCTGTGAGGCAGGCATGTACAGCTCAAACTACATCTATGCAATGGAGGGAGAGCTCCTTTCAATGAACTGAGTCTTGACAGAGAGATGGAAGAACAAAGTCCTGGCTGAGGTGAAAGGCTGAAACCACCTTAAAAGGAAGAAGGTTCTAGGCCACAAAACCACCTTGTCCCTGTGTAAGACCAGGAAGGGTTCTTTACAGAATCAAAGAGTGAGAGCTAGTGGTCTCTGGAACAAGATTGCAAGAGCAGAGATCTGTCCCTTGATTGCACACAGGATCAAAAACTGATCTGGATTCAATTACAGAAAGGCCAGGATTCCATCCACAGAGCATTTTCTGGGATGAAAGCTTCTTTCCTTGCACCAAGTGAACTATGCCTTCCATGTGTGATGATAGAGCTTGCAGGAAGTAGACTTCCTCACTTTTAGCATCATGGGGATCACCCTCTAGATTTGGGATTCAACAGCGATGTCGATAAAACCAGCGACTGTGAAGCAGGATGGTATACAATTCCTTGGAGCAGAAGATCCAGATGATATGAAAGAGCCCAGAGAGCATCTATCAGGAGCCTGACTAGGTAAGAGCACCACATCCACCTGGGCCAGTCCACAGCTATGGAAATCACTAGAATGCCCTCCATCGTGATCCTTCAGAGCAGACAAGTTAGGGGTTTCAAGAAAAGAAAGGTATAAATCAGGCTATACTGATTTCATGGCACCACCAGAGCATTACCTGTTTCTGCCAGAGGATCTCTGCATCTGGAGACAAACCTCTCCAGTCTTCTATTGAACCTAGAAGCAAGGAGGTTCACAACTGGCATTCCCCATCTAAAATACAGGTCTTGAAACACCACCAGGTGTAGGGACCACTCCTCCCGAGTCTAGGCTCTGCCGGTGGGGGAAGACTGCCTACCAAACAAGGCTGGAACCTGAAGATCTGCCCAGGACAGGATTGTTTCTATTTCCCTTGCAGCGGCAAGACTTCTGGATCATCCCTGGTGGCTTATGTACAGTATACCTGTGCAGAGGCACTGTTTGACTGGTTCCTCCTCTTCGAACAGATCAGATAAGGATTCTGCAGGACAAGGCGTGGAAGAGCACTTATGGCCTTTGGGGTCAGAGTAAGCAATTAAAGCAAAATTGACCCATAAAATCTTGCATAACTGTGAAGAAATCCTCCCAGGATAGAGCCAAGGAGGGGCCATGTGTGACAGACCATCCAGTAATGGTACTTCCCAGAACCCACCCTAGGCGACCTGAGTCCACACCTCCTACTTAATGAGTTTAGCAATTGTTTACAATATTTCTATTGTGATGGAGTGTGTTTAGAAAGGACTCAGATGTATATATAATACGAAAAATATTTAAGTGTGACAGAGCTAAGGAAGGCTCTGTGGATGACATAGACTCAAGCAGAGGGCAATATTCCAGGCTGTCAGTGTCAGGCCCTTCAGGAGCTGCACAGCAGTCAGCACTGCAACCGTTAATGGATCACGAGCTGTATTACCTGCAAATCTAGTCCTGAGATTTCCACAGCTTTGCTATACTGCACAGCTCTGTCTGGCTGCAGAGAGGACCTGATATTTCTCTGCTGCTGCCTGTGACTGGACAATGAAAGACGAAGCACCACAACGTTCATCTCTCTATCACTCTGCTCTTTCCTCCTATCAAGGTGCTTCTTACACTGGCATAAACCTGATTGGCTTCTTGTGTTCCTTCACCCTCCCCCAAAGCAGGCCATGGAGAAGGAAGTGGGGGAGCACGTTGTCCTTCTGTAGAAGTGATCGGTCAGTTGGATAGCTGCTCTGATCACATCCACTGAAAGCACAGAGGCCAATCTTTACATTTAGATCAAGCTCATGGCTCCTAGTCCAGCTGTGAGTTACACATTAGCCTAAAAGGATGATCATCATGTGTAATACAAATCCTCGGCAGTCAAAGTGTTAAATGAGAAGCAAAATTTGAAAAGAATGACACCAGTGAGTCACTGGGATTAACCCAGCAGTTTGTTTTTTTAGAAGTACCCCGTAACATAGTTGTATTATTTGCTCATCCAGCCAGTGGATCAATCATTTTTCCACTTCCTTTACAGATGACAGGGTGCCAGAGAAGGGAATCACAAAGCGTCAACAGGTTTAGGCCCCGTTCACACCAGGGCGTTTCGTTGCGCATTTTTTCCCCACGCTGAAACACATGCAACTTAAAATCCCATGTATTCCTATAGGGGCCTTTCACACAAACACGCTGGATCGCGCATCAAAATATGCCCAGTGTTTGAAATAGTCCATGAGCTTCTTTTGTGGCACTTATCAGCTCCTTTGGCTCCATAGACTTCAATGAAAAAAGGAGCCGATTAGCGTGTTTTTGTGTGTTTGTGCGCGTCTTTGCAGCTGAAACTGCTTTTCATTGGACAACTAAAAACGAGCTGAAAACGTGCCTTAAAATGCTATTTACATGAACAGAAAACGCCTGTAAAATGCAGTGAAATGCGCATAACAAATGTGCAAAAAGCGCGCTAAAAAAGCATGTAAAGCGCGCTGAAATTATGTTGCCCTGGTCTGAATCGGGTCTTACTGCTGAATGGGAGCAGAACGGAATGGATGTTGTGCTGTGACATCTGTGTCCATCTTGTGATGGGAAAAAAAACTGAGCTTAATGGACCAAACAGCTACACGTCCGTTTGCATCCTCCTGCCCATAGACTAACACTGAGCTCCAGATTAATATTAACCTCCTGAAAGACTGATATAAATAACGGGTAACTGTTGTAAGCGCCCCAACTATAATCAGGCATAGGTGGAATTGCAACTGCTCATGACTAAAAATCGCTTGTTTCTGCTCAGTCTATAACAGGTACTGGCAGGCACCAGCACCTGTTTGTTAGCGATGAGCAAACGGGCCTAGATTCAGTTTGCTTGGATGTTCTGCCAATACAGCCAGAAATCTGGGTCTGGCGAATTTCCGAGCAAACCGAAACCCAGGGGCTCCAGTTAGGGTTGCCACTTGTCCAGTTTCCACCCGGACAGTCCGGTTTTGGAGTCTTGTGTCCACCTGAGAGCCACATAGCCCACCTGAGAGTGTGCAGAGCCCACTTGAGTGGCGCACAGCCCACCTGAGAGGCGCACAGCCCACCTGAGAGGTGCACAGCCCACCTGAGAGGTGCAAAGCCCACCTGAGAGTGTGCACAGTACACCTGAGAGCCGCACAGCTCATCTGAGAGCCCGCACAGGCAACCAGGAGACATCAGGGCGCCAACCCAGAACAACACAGAGTATATAGCTTCATATTATCTTGCATTGCTGTATAATGTATTGCTGTAGTCCTCTATAGACGGTCTTCTTACTCCCTTCCCTGGCTGTCTCTTCTTGCTCTTTCACCTGGCTGCCTCTCCTCGCACTAATTGGTATCGGCGAGTACCAAAAAAAAATTATCGGTACTCGTACTCGGTACCAAAATACCGGTATCGGTGCATCTGTCAGTGTCTTAGTAACCAACTGAAGGCTAACTGCAGAAAACTACAGGAGGGGCGAATACAAGACCAGTCACTCACACATGGAGAGAGCAGCAGTGACCGATCTTTATTACAGGAAGCTCCCGTATAGAGAATTTCACACTGGATTACTGCACAGACCTGGATGAAATACACAAACCACACCGAGATTGAAGTAACAATACACATGGCTCTTGTATTTAGATAATAGCTGCTGATTCTGAAGTTGAGTTTCATATAAACTAGGAGAATGTTTTATAATTAGGTGATAAGCGTTAGTGTGGTACCCAGCTTCACTCTCCTCCCAATATACGCTGGTACAACCTCAGTCACCATCCAGCAGATGACACTGCACTCCAATCTGCTGTGCCCACACTCTTCCAGTCCAGGGGACCTTGGCACTTCAGCTGTTACTACAAGTCCCATGAGGCATTGCAGGACTCCCAGCGGTAGAAGATGGTGGGATTTGTAGTTTCAACACAGCTGAAGTGCCCAGGCTGCCTATCCCTGCATATCACCCTCCTCCTCCGCTGCTAGCTGCGCACTTCCATCTCTGTAAACACCGGCATCTGCCCTCTTAACCAATCAGATAGAACATCTCCAACAAGGAAGTCTTTCAGCAACCAATCCGTCGCGACTTGTCTCTCATCTTTTACTTTCCAATAGGAGCGAGCTGTATGCAGCTGCGCTGGGAACTTCTAGCCAATCAGGAGGCTTCTTTCATTGCTGCGCTGCCCTGCAGTTGCAGTGTGTGTGTGCGCTGAGTGTATAGAGTGATTGAGCTGTGCATGCCTGTGTGTTGGAGTGTAAATATCGGCTCTACGGAGGTAGCCAGTGATCGGCTGTGTGTGCCAGGGCACAGCTAGCCCATGGCTTTCTGGAAGAGATCGGACTACGTGCAGTATTCCCCTAAGGAGAGGTTAGTGACTTCCTCCTGGTGATCATCACATCATTGTCACATTTGTAATCATGTGTGTGAAGGGGGGTGTGGTGGGGTTACATTGTATTCTTATTGTAAATGGGTTGTCATGTGACAGACATCATGAGCACTTCTGATGATCTGCATCATGCTTCTGTCTTTCGTAATACGTCATGCCTGTCATCCTATGTGGTTGTAAGTTGTCTTCATGTTACAAGTGACACAGTGTGGATCTGGAAGCAGATGTCACCTTGTATTCTGCATTGTATCATCAGTCATAGTAATGCAGCAATTGTGGGGTTTTGCATCGGATGAGCCAGCTGTAAATTGTAACAATAACCCAAGAGGTGCAAAAGCAGCCAGGAATAGGCAGGTGATCCTTAAAAATGTTATGTTACAAAGTGGTTTGAATAGCAATTATATAATAGACCTGTGTAATAAAATAGATATTATCTATAACCTCTCCACAACAGCGTGACGCATGTATGTGGCAGCACAGCGGGTGAACCTGAACAACCAGCTACCACAGATACGCGTTTCTCAATCAGCACCCCCAGAATTGTGACCGAGCTGCCACCAATAGCTCACGGTCAGCTGCTGACAGTCGGGCTCCTGATTACATCATCACTAAGCAGCCAATCACAGGGAACAAATAATTGGGAGCCCCTCCTACAGCCTCTGCCAGCCCTTTCGAGCAGGGGTGGGCAAACTCCTGCCTTCCAGTTGTGGTGGAACTACAAATCCCATGAGGCATTGCAAGATTCTCACAGCCCCAGGCGTGACTCCCAGACACAGATGCATGGTGGGATTTGTTGTTTCACCACAGGTGGAGGGCTGGAGTATGCCCATCCCTGCTTTAGGAGGTAACAACTAAGGATGTGCAGAGGCATGGTGTGAACCCAGTTTGCCCAATCCCATGCAAACATGTGACTGATACACATCCCTCCCGTACCAGTCAGTTGTGACAGAGGCATTCTAAAAGCCCTTTGTGACATGTAGCTGTGGGTAGGGGAATGTCTCCTGACCATAACTGATTCGGCCGCGACGGGGGGTGTCAGGCACAGCTTTGCATGGGCTTTGGCAAACTGGGTTCACACCAATGCCCCCTGCACGTCTCTTTAGTAAGGACTTGAGGTTCCGCTCCAAAGGACCAGAACAATGTTTACATTTTAGATATGGGAATATTGATTTGGCAGGACGTTGCCATTGCATAGTAAACTAAAGCGGTACGTATTTTGTGTTTGTGGGTGAAGGGACACAGCTGAGGCTTTCTTTTCAAAGAACTAGTACTACTGCAGATAAAAAATAAAAATCGTGTTCTGCAATGTGTCCTTTTTTATAATGTTTTTCTAGCACAAAGCATCGCAAAGTTAAAGGTTGTTCACATTGTTATTCCTCCTACATTCCAAAAATAAACAAGATGGCAAAACTGCATACAGATGGAAAACATCATTTAAAAAACAAAAACCTGTGTCGGGGGGATAAAAAACTTTGTTGCAGCAAGTTTGGTTTAACTGGAGGTTAAGGCCTCATTCACTCAAGAAACGGCTGGCACAGCTCCGTGCGCGCCTGTATCGGGTAGCTCCCAGGAAGGACAGGTGCTGCGTATTATTAGTACGCAACCCCTGTCCTTCTCCATGTGAGTACGCTGCCCTACACTCGCCCTAAGTGCGGGTCCATACGGGTGCAGGTGTCCAGGCTCGGACGCAAACAGGATCCATTCTGTCAGAGTACAAGTATGGACACCAGCACGGACGTGCAGGGCGGGTGAGCGTAGGGCGGCGTACGGCCACATACTCCCATAGGGAAGGACAGGGGCTGCGTACTAATCACATACAGCACCTGTCCTTCCCAGGAGCTGCCCGATAGAGCCCTGCACGCAGGATGGAGCTGTACGTTCTGGCTTTTTCTTGTGTGAATGAGGCCCAAACGTTATAAAGTTAAAAAGTAATAATTTTATGTAAAAAACAATTTTGTGATTAACGGACACAACTTTGGGCTTATAGAAAAGACTTCATGAGCCTTGGCGATTCAAATGGACAACATGATTAACCACCTTCGTACCCGAGCAATTTTTTTAAAATTTTCACACACGTTAAAATCTGAATTTTTGAATACGAAAAGTACTTTCAACCCCCAAACAATTATATATTTTCTGAAAGCAGAGGCCCTGTAGAAAAAAAAAATGATAGCTGAATTTGTTTTATGTTGCACTTATTTTAGTTTTTTTTTTCCACTATAAATGTATTGCTTTTACAAAGGGGCTAACAAGTCCCTATGTGATAGTGTTTGGAGGTGACAGGGTCTCTTTATGGAGACATCAGGGGTCTATTAGACCTCTGGTGTCTCCCCTTCCCTCCAATACAGAAGATCAAGCACAGCAATGTGCTTGATTGCCTGTGTAACTGGCACTTTGGTTGGTTTCTGACAGCTCTGAAGCAGGAAGTGCTTCCTGCTCCATTGATCACAGAGCAGATCGGGGAGCTGATGTTACTTGGTCTGCTCCTGCTCTCCATCCTGATACTGTTTGGCCGCGGGCCCTCCAGAGGAGCGGGGGAGACCAAAAACCACTGCATGGGGGTGGGATGTGCAGGGGGGGCTGTACCATGAGTGGCAGGTACAAGTGATTGGTTGGCTCTACAGCCACCCAGACTTGTATTAGAAAGCCCTTCATCTGCTGACAAAAAATGACATCAAGTTGATGGCTGCAGATATAACCACTTGAAGTAACTAGAGTAACCTGAAGTGGTTAATAAGTCCATATGCAGAGTTTCCCTTCAGTGAAAACCACTCATCAAAACAATCGGTAGAGGCAGAGATCCGGGCAGCTGAATTCTGCGCAAATCCTGTTTCATCATACATTTTTCCCTGAAGGTAACGGCTGCTTATTGATTCTTTTCCTCCTATGTTCATGCCCAGGATTTCTATCCAATACTAGAAAAAATATTGTTGGTGACATATACTTTTTTTTTGTTTCTTAACCACTTCAAGACCAGGTGTTTAGACCCCCTTCCTGGCCAAGCCATTTTTCAGTATTCAGCGCTGCGGTACTTTGACTGACGTTTATTCCGTCATGCAACGCTGTACTGAAATTAATTTTATACCATTTTTTGGGGACAGATAGAGCTTTCTTTTGGTGGTATTTAATCACCACTGGGGGTTTTTATTTTTTACTATAATTAGGAAAAATTACAGAAAAGTTTGGAAAAAAAAAGTTTTTTTTTACACCCGCGAAATCGCAGAAAACTACCATACCCAAAATTGGCCATAGGCGACACTTTAAAAGCTTTTACCGCTCATCAGTTTAGTGTTATCAGTGATTGATGGCCCTAGACTTATTGCTCTCACTCCGACATTCGGGCCGATATGTAACATGTGCGGCGTAATGGGCGCAACCGTCTTTTTTGCACGTATGCGCCCCCGACGCATGTATGCATGCGTGTATGTATGGGTGGGGACTTAAATATATATATTTTTTTTTATTCTTTTTTATGGTGTAACTTTTAAATTTGGGGGGGGGGAACTTAACATTTTTTTCCCTTTTTTTTTTTCACTAAACTTTATTGCTATCACATACGATTAAAGGGGTTCTAAACTCTCTGGGTTTTTTTTGCCTACACCTACTGCTATCAAGCAGTAGATATAGGCAAAAAGCTTCTTTTTTTTTAAACCCGCTTTAACAGCGGTTTAAACTTACCCTGTTTTCGTCACGCGCTCCCGCCCGAGAATCCGAAACTGCTCGGCCGGCCGCAAAGCATCTTGGGGCGGGCGCATGCGCAGTTCGGATTCTCGGGCGGGAGACGAGTAGAGATGCAAGGCAAGTCTATGGACACGTGCACCCGCCTGCAGACACCGCTGGATTGGAAGTGCCTGCAAGCAGAGAGTCAGCGCTGGATCGGAGAGCCGCCGCACTGCTGGAGGGACAGATGAAAACATCAGGAAAGAAGTGGAAAATCGGATTAAGATACATAATTTAAGGTAAGTGCTGACATTAACATTGGGGGGAGGGAAAACATTTTTGACTTTAATGTCACTTTAAGTAGGTTTTTCACACTATAGCATTGTATAGAGAACACAGTAGAGGCAGAATCAAAGGGCATTAACTAGGTACGCACAGTTTTTTTTGGTATCCAGACCAGTATGAGAACCGCTAACTTTTTTTTCTTTCAGTACTCTCCGTTACAGGAAGTCCCATTAAGGAAGCCGGGCGACGTGTAATGACTTACTTCCCGATTAGCCGAGAAGCAGTCTCCATGCTCCCTCGTCACCAGGTGACGAGGGACCCTGTAGGCGGATTTTCTGGCCATCAGGAAGCCGGGGGCAGGTAATGACTCGCCGCGCCGCTTCCTGATGCTGGAAGTTTAGGTATCGGGAGCATTTGGGCGAATCGCCCATATACTAGGTATCGGCACCGATACCAATACTAGTATTGTTATCAGTGCATCCCTAGCATTAACAGTTTTATATACAAGGACAAGGGCATGTGGTGTATATTTGACTTGTAGAGTACAATCAAATAATGCATATTCCGAGCACCAGGCAGCACCTGGATTTTGGGCAGTGCTATGATCTGGGGTTGCTTCGGTTGTTCAGGTCTAGGTTCAGTAATGGTATGTGCCCAAAAAAATAGGTCAGCTGCCTACCTGAATATAGGGAATGACTGTGTTTTTCCAGCAATGGATTTTTACTTCCCTGATGCACATTGCACATATTCCAAGATGACAATGCCAGGGTTCATTGGGCTCAAATTGTGAAATTGTAAAAATGATGTCTCGTGCTCCCTCAACCACTATTTCAAATTTGAACCAGAGCTTTGGGGTATGAATAGCATTTATTCACACCCTAAAGCCCAAGCAGCAATTTTTCTTTTTGGATAATCCTTACACAAATTACAGATCCAGGGGTGCTGTGCTTCTGATTAAAGTAGAACTATGGTCTTCCATTAGAAGAAAATGTGCTGCAGCATTCAATTGTATTGCAGTTTTCTTTTAGCCACCTTG